CTCTCTCTCTCTCTCTCTCTCTCTCTCTCTCTCTCTCTCTCTCTCTTTCTTTCTTTCACACTCTCCTTTTACCCGGGAATTCGTTGACAGGATCGATGGCAACCCACCACGGAGATAACCGAACATAGAGCCAAGATTCACGGAGGATTTATACCTTAAGGCTTCCAATCCCACTGCTGCGGAACCTTGAATTGATGACGTCAGAAGCGAGAAGACGCACGGCGAAAATTCTTGCATGCCGAATAGAGGGCCATTTGTATGAAAAGTAGCACTTTAGATCGCTGCTTCAGCATACTTGTAAAACTTTTCCTTGACAGTCAATAAACAACCATAAAATTAACACGGTATGCAAGCTTTCTCTTTAATCCATCTTTCCTCGTGATTTTGCCACGTTAATTTTAAGGCTATTTGTCGATTGTTAAAGAAAAAGGATAATTTTTTTCAGAACATTTTGCAAGTATATTCAAGCGATCTGAACAGCTCCTTCAAATATCTCCTTATTTAAATATGGCGCGCAAGAATTTTTGGCACGCGTTTTCTCTCCTCTGACGTCATCAAACCATGTAATGGGACCAGTGCTGGAATTCTGTATCTCGTTATTGGAGTTAACGACAGTTCCGTTAACTCCAATAACGAGTTACAGAATCCCAGCACAGGAGTCTTAGCGAGACCGCCGTTCCATCATTTCGTTTTCCTTTCCCGTAACGATTTATGGTCGATTTTTGTGAGACACTCACCACGACTATTTCGTGGCTCTTGTCATCTCCTGGTGCCAGCCTCACCCGATTCTCCATTTGCATTCCGACGTAGCCCGAGGTAACCACTTCCTCCTCGCGAAACGTGACGCTCTGTGAGCCTTTCGTCCCTCGTCTTGTCATGACAAAAAGTCGCGCGTTCACCAGGTTTTTCGCGATTCTCCTTTCCGCTGCTGCGTCGGTTTTCTCGCGGACAGCCTAGGGCGCGGCGATTATCGGGACGGATTAAAACCTATCGAGTTTTGCCGAGCGCAACGAGAACATGCCGGATTGTAGACGGTGTAACGCGATTTTTAAGACACGATACGAATCCGCTCGTCCATTATAGGCAAAAAGAAAATACGAAGAAATATAGCGATCGTACGTTCGACGACGATATCGCTCGTCATGGAACACCCTCAGGAGGAGAGTCGAAAGGAAGAGGAGGAATACCTTCAACGGGAGATAGCGCGGAAAAATCGCCTGGCATCTCGCATAAAACTTAATACACGGAAAAAAGAATTCTGTTGGTGCGATCGAATTTTCGGTTGCTCAGGGATCAAACGAAAACTCGGCTGTAGAAACAGAAAAATTCCTCTATGAGACTTCTGTATAGTCAATTATTCTCAGTTGCTTCAACCGAGTTTTAATATCGTTGAATGTCCAGACGAATATTTTCGGTTGCGACAACAGAAATATTTTTTTTCAGAGATATCGTTTCTGATTACCTAATTTTCAGTTGGTTCCTATTTGGTTGCACCAACTAAAATTTTTTTTGCGTGTACAACGGATCGGAGATTGAGGATTGCGGATTGAAGATTAGATTTCGACGAATCGACGAATTTCGGTCTTGGCTCGCTTTTATTCCAGTTGGTCGAGTTCCAATCCGCAATCCTCGGTCTTCAATCCGTAGTGTGACACAGGCTTATCGCTCGTCCGCGTCGTGCGTTGCCCATTACCGTTTATTACGCCTGATCATCCTCCTGATCACCATTTGATGATTTGAATATTCCCCCGATCATCACTTGATCCGAGTCCTTGTCGGCGTCGCGCGAGCAGAGAATCGCGTCGACACGGCCGGGCCGAGGAAACGAAGGCGAGTAAGCCTTCAGAAGAGGAAACGCAGGAAGCTCAACGGAGAAGCCCGAGAGAGCGTGGCGAGGAGGTGGGAGCGCGGGCCCCGTCTCGTGGCCGCTTTTCCGTTCCTCCAGCTCCCGCCGAAAGCGCCAGACCGCCGGGGGTCCGTTCAGTCTTCCCTCAGTCATCCTCACGCACGCGTACACGCACCGCGGTGCGGAGGCCGGCTCTTGTTTACATCCTCTCTCACCGGAGGACTCGCGCCCGTCGTCCTCTCGCATCCCCGTCGACGCGCAACGTTGCGCTACGAGCGTTCGCGAGTTCACGTAGTCGGCGACAACTCACGTCCGCGGACGATCCCGGGCGATTCTCGGATTCTCCGCGATTCGATTTTCCACGAGCCGACCCGACCCGACTCGGAGGAGCCTCGTGCCCAGCAAAGCGGAAATAATGCGCGGAAGTCGTGGGACGATCCTCGTCCTGTGCACGATGATAAATTACCTGGTGAGTTGGAGCCGCGTTTCGCCTAGGTCGTCTCACATGAGAAGTGCTGCTGCCCTTTTGACTTCTCGCCTTTTGGCCGCTCGCCGTCACATCGCCGGGTCGTTCGCCTCGCGACGCGTAAACGAGAGGAGGCACCGGAGCGCGGCGTCGAAGCGGACACACGTGGTGGGCGCGACTCGTTTGACGTGCGATTATTTATAACGCGGGCGTATTACACTCTTCGCGTGTAACGCGACACTGTAATCTAGACGCCGTGATCCGACGTTGGGACGTCGAGGTAGTTAATTCGTCGGCCGGAACGGGGTAATTAACATCGTCGGATAAACACGCCACGGTGCAGCGACTTGAACTTAAATTAATAGCCATCGCGGGAGCGTCGAAGCAATGGCTTTTATTTCTCTGTACCACCGGAGAACTGTTTCATTTATCTTCAGTTCTCAATCGCTGCACTCACCTGTGGTATTTCTTTTGACGATGAAACCCAAATTCAAAGACACTATTAAGAAACTATTAAGAAACACTATTAAGAAACATTAAATGGGGACACGGAGCTCGTCTTTTGAAAAAATTACCCGTTTCCCGATTAAAAATTCATCCCATGGTCGTCGTCAGGTTGATTCCGATCAGTTATCTGGCTTGCACAAAATATTATCGAGTCTTCTAATTATTAATAAAGTCCTAATTACTAATAATAACGTCCAATTATCACGTTATCTGTCTCATCAGTATTCAGGACTTAACATAACCTGATACAAAAACAAGGTAAATGGTTGGAGTAAACCTGACCAGGTTGATGTCAACCAGTTACTTTATGTGCATCAGGTAATATTATCAAGTTTTAATTATTAATAATCTTTATTAATAGTAAAACCCCGTGATTTGTGAGAACGACACTACTCGTGACAAGCCAGATAATTGACCGAGATAAAACTGCTCAGGATCATGGGATAAATTTGTAGTCAGGTTCTCGAAAATACCTCGCGCCCTCGTCTGGACTTTGTCGAGCCTCCTCTCAATTTTCCGCACGGCGTAACGTTTCCCTCTCGCCATCGCGGTCAAAGAAACCCTCTCCCAGCCGCCCACAATAATCGGCAGTTTAAACGACGCGCCATTATCGTTCTTATGCGCATCGAGCCGCGTGGGAAAACGCGGACATGCCGAACCGTTGTGAGCGGCAAACGATCCTTATTATTAAACGTCCCACGTAACGAACGCGAATGGAAGTCGGTCCCTCTTTCGCGCTAACGGTAACCCTGCCACCCTTCCGCGGGCCATCCTTCAGCAGCCGCGCGCGCGAATTAGAATTCCGTCAATGTCAACCGGATAGCTGCAGTGCGTGCGTCCGTTATCGGCAAGAATGCGATTGAATCGTTCGATAGTCCCCGGGCGATTCGCTGAAAAGCCCCCCGATCGTCGACGCACGAACGCTTAATTCCGCAGTTAGGATCCCGGGCCCGCGAGCCCGTGTCTCTCTCTTCCGGCAGGACGAGGTGACGTTAGTTTCATCAACGTGCAGTCGACGACGTCCGCGGATACGCGCGCAGAATCGCAATCATTTTCAGCCGGCAGACGGGTCGTTGGACTCAGACGCGTCGGAGTGCCGGGTGTCGTGCTCGCTGAATATGCGAGCGGTGTTAAAGAGGAATGCATTCCGGGGGCGCGCGCGGTGCTCCCCCTACGGATTATCGGACACTCGCGGCCCCCTTCTCCGACGAGAAGTAAATATTTTACCTCACGCACACGCGCGCGCACTCACTCACTCACTCGCTTACTCGCCGGCTCTTTGTTGGCGTACGAGTCAAGTGCCCTCGACGTCTTTAGCCAGCCGCCTTTAATGATCGCCATAAAGTAACGCGCGTATCGATGGGAGTACCGGCGAGTACCGGCGCGCGATAGAGCCACACGGTTGTTCCGTGAATTACGGTATCGTCGCGGTATCGGCCCTTTGTCGGGCGCCTCGCCTGCGACGACGCCTGCGAGCGCTGGCGACGCAGGTGAGGCAACGGGAATTTCCGCGTCGTCGTTCGCTTTTCCGCCCGTGTGACATACCCGAATTAATCCCGGACGTCCCATTAATCCGTTTCCCGTTTCTCGCGAGGCTAAACCCGATACGTGCTGAAATCGCGCACGGTTTCATCGTGCTTCGCATTGTGCCGCGGTTGTTACACGGTGTCATGGTATCGCGTGCTGCGATACCCCCGCATCGCGTGCTTTTCCCGTGAAAAATGAACGAATCCGATGGCGGTCGGTGGGAAAGCCCGCGTTCCGTAACAATATCGAGTTAATCTCCCAAGTTTATCTCTGTCCGGGGAGGGGCGGGACGAGAAATTCTCACCTGTGCACCGTTGACCCGACACCGAGCGCCTCCGACGCGCCGTTTCATATTTTTATTACCTGCAACGTGTCTTTTCACGCCCGCTCATTGACGATTCAGCGCGCCGCGCGCGCGCGCGACACTGAATTAAACATTAGGCATTCTTTTATTAAAACCGAAGCCGCACCGGGGGCGGGTGCGTTTGGTGAGCGCGCGTGACTCATTGAAAATTGACGGACGAAAGAGCGCGCGTCTCGTTCCACTTCCGCTTCTTTTTCCGCATGAAAAAGATGGAAAGATCGAGCACGTGTAACGGCTAAGTCGTTTCCAACGCGTTTCAAGCGCGTTGATAATTAAGCAAAATGTCTCACTGGTCCAGATGGAATTCTAGAAATTTCATTGCTCAAATTTGTATTTATAATTGTAATATAATTTACTAATTACACGTCCAATACTGCCTGAAGGGGCAACAAGAAAGAAGCTCTCTTTCCTGTTTAAAATGATATGTATAACTGTAAAAGCTTGTGAGATATACGTAAATATGGATATAGAATCGATCAGGGGAACCAGTTTTCGAGTTCTTTGCGAGAACAACTTTACTTGCGTCTCGTTGCAATATCAAGTACGAGAATAATCGCGACGCATCTCGACGGTCGTCTCCGGGATAACGCGTTTGTGAATCGCGCAGCTTCCGGCGCGCGTTTCACTGATAAGGAACGAGAAAAACATCAGCATAGACACGATTTCATCCAAATGCTACCGAGCGCTTCCTTGCTAAATTTTTAATAATTCACATATAATTTCTATATTGATAATACGCTCAGCTAATTTCTCGTATCCAGGTAATTTTCGCTATGACTGCAAGACTATTTTTTCGAGCGCGAGTACAGAAGTGTTCGAAATTGACAGCATCGCTACTCTCTTAAAGTGAATCAGTGAATAGTCACTGATATTAGTTACGAGTATAGCACTGAGTACTTTCAGTGTTGTACTTATAACTGCAATCAATGTATATTCACTGTTTTCAGTGATGTTTACTGATTCATTTTAAGAGAATACCGATCGTCCGTCTCTCGGTTGACGGTCGGAAATCGAAGCTCGAGTTTCATTAGTTTCCCTATGGATACCTGACGCGCACTAACAAGAACGAAGCCATTGTCTTCGCGGACGAGGCTGGGGAAAATAGATCGGCCGACCGCGGCGGCCAATTTGCAGGCAAACGGAGCCGGTGAACTCTCTCTCTCTCTCTCTCTCTCTCTCTCTCTCTCTCTCTCTCTCTCCGTCTCTCAGTCTCTCCGAGCGCGCAATAGCAGTTGCAATCCCATCCGCGACTGTACGCGGCCGGGATATTGGCTCGTTTCTTCCATTCCTCGGCATCATGCGGCGTACCCTCGCGTCTCTCTCCCTCTCGCCTCCCTGGATCCCTTTCTTCCTATCCGTTGTCGCATCTGCCGACTTGATTCCGCCGGCTTCATTGCGAAGCCGAGCGTTCTCACGAGGTCGATATTAAGGGATATCCTGTCTGTAGACACACAGGACGTGGGTCTCACGGGCTACTCGAGAGCGCGAATCCTGCAAAATTTATTCGCGTACATGGGGGTCTCCTCGCGGCCCATCTTCGCCGAAGAGTTTCGAGCGTCGCGGCGACGTGAAGAACGTGATGCGAGAGAAGCTGGTCTCTCCCGATCGCTCGTAGTTGTGGATCCTTCGGCGAGCTGGTTTGGAAAAAAGAAACAACTTGGAAAGCCACGTTAATGCCGAGGGCGAAGTGCCTCGAGTACCCTCGCAGAGATGAGACGCTCTCCTCCTCGAGGGCACTGACGCGGCATGCCCGTAGGAAGTACGTAGCTCGATTTGAAGGCGAAAAAGGGCGGCGCGAGAGCAAGGAGTCGCGCGCGGCAAGAAGATCAACGTGCAATTCGTCTCGCGGAACGATTGCAGATGCAGACGGAGGCGCGACTAAAATAGCGCGAGCTCAAGAATGGTCCTTAGTTTTTGCGGGCTTTCTTGCGCGATGAGTTTTTCCCAAGTCGCGGGCCTTTTTTTCCTGCCTTTCGCCTCTCTCTCTCTCTCTCTCTACTCTTCCGTTTTATGAATTCCCGTGTGTAATTCACGGCGTATACGCGCATACGTGCAAAACGCGATTCCCATGTACGGCGAGCGGATAACAGGGTGGAGAGGCAGGCGGAATGGGCT